CAAAGACAGCGTACAACCTCTGGCCGATGTAAAAGTAGGCACCAGATCTGGAATGGGGTTTTTTAGACGATTATAGAAGTTGCAATGCTCTCTCTGAAAACTCAGCTTTTCAAAGGGTTTGGAAACTCAGTTTTTAAAAAGGGTTTAGTTTGGTTGATTCGGAGCTCTCATATCCATTTTATTATACACTTTGTTCTACAAAATAACACTAAAGGCTTTAGCATACTGTAAGAAAAAAATTTTTGAGATTTGTTCGAAAACCTACCGCAAGCACTCTGATTGAATCCGCTGGGTCTCGGTTATGCATAAAGTCCACGCTCAGAGCAGTAACTGGTATCAGCTCGTCAATTCCAAATGACAGCCGCTTCTAAGAAAAATTTATCCTTTTAGTGCTAAGCATAAGGAAACGGATGGCCCACCAGCAAACGATTCAAGCCGCTTATAAACTTGTCATCCAATTCATCTGGGAAGGACGAGTAGCCCATACATTGACAGAGGATTACAGTTGTGAAGAAGTGCTGTAGACATTAATTGTAGAAAAACTGCAGAGATAGAAGTAGGTAAAATTAATCCGCACAGATCGTAATCTTGTAGAGCTGAGCCTCGCTTAAGATCTACGACTGTCAGTTAGAGACGGCACACAGAATTTCGAGAAATTGCATTTTTTCAACCAAAAATTTATAAGAGAAAACTGTGTGGATTTACCTGATCACAATTTCTAGCCAACTTCAATAACATATCAGAGGTTACTGAGATCTGTGGCCTTCGCTCGAGCACAGCTGCCAAGAAGGTGACACGGTTCTCAACCGCGATAGTTTCACAGAGGATTACAGTCATTAGCTGAAACAGAACCTTTGGAGAAAACTTTTCAAAAAAATCGAAGTTACAGACCTCATCGTCGAGAAGATCATCAAGGTTGACTTCATTAAGAATTGCAGGCTCATTAATGTGTGCAGAAAGCTGTAGCAGTTGTCTGGCTTCCATTTCTCCGCTATGACACTGGAGGCAAAGCTCGACTATTCTCGAAGCAAGTGATGGCATCTGAAACATTCAACCTCAATCCTTGAGCTCCTTAGTTTTGGCTTCAGCGTAGATGATACCAACCTCATCGCTGTCCAAGAACTCAATCAGCTGATTGTCACCAAAAGCCGTTGCAAATATCTTTACGACAATCTGTGAGGT